ACACACACACACACAAACAAACAAACACTCACACATCGGAATAGCAACAAAAAAAAGAAAACAAAGATAACATTCCAAAAGGTTTTCATTTGGTTCAATACAAGAGAAAAAAAAAATAGTACCCTTTGTGTTTTTATTTAATTAAACCCTGTGCAGCCAGTGAGCCAGCTACAAACCTAATATTAATTTTGTCACTTTCAAGGATCACAGAAGTAAAGATTTAGGACATCAGCATCGTTGCTTTAAAAAAGTATATGGCAGTAACCTTATTAAACTGGTTGGCTTATATTATACTGAACCATGAGTGATTGAGTGAGTGAGTGAATGAGTGAGTGAGTAAGTGAGTGAATGGGTCAGTGAGTGAGGGAATGAGTGAGTGAGTGAGTGAGTGAGTGAGTGAGTGAATGTGTGTGTGAGTGAGTGAGTGAGTGAGTAGGTGTGTGAGTGAGTGTGTGAATGAAGAGTAAGTGAGCATGTGTGTAAGTAAGTGAATGAAAGTATGAGTGAGTGAGTGAGTGAGTGAGTGAGGGAGTGAGTATATGAATGAATGAATGACTGAATGAATGAATGAATGAGAGTGAGTGAGTGAGTGAGAGTATGAATAAGTGAGTGAGTCAGTGAGTGAGTGCGTGAATGAGAGAGTGTGAATGAATGAATGAATGAATGAGCGGGTGAGTGTTTGAGTGAGTGAGCGGATGAATTTGTGAGTGATTTCCCAATTAACTATACTAAAGAAATTTATGTTCCATGCCATGCATACTGACCAATGACGAACACGACAATTCCCTCATCTCTGAGCGCCTGTGCGGCTGGACCTGTAAGGGCGGGCTCTGTAGATTTGCCGTCCGTCTGTACAATAGCGATCTTTGCTGAATTATTTCTTGCTCCTCTCTGGGAAGGAAAAGAAGGCTTGCTATTGGCTGCATGCTGCCAGTTAATCAGAACAAAGGAAGGGAGTAGAACAAAAGAAGAAGAAAAAAAGAGAAAAATATAGATGTATAAAATGAATAACAAAGCTGGGGAGTCAAATAAAATAATGAAAAGGAATTGACCGAGAAAGAATGAAAGGAAAGAAAGATTGACCTGCTGTGCGAATATAGGAAAGAATGGCTTTTTTAGCTGAATAGAGGAAAGACTGGCTTTTTAGATGATTAGAGCCCCCCCCCCCCTAAATGGACCCACCTCTTCGTGGTGGTGGTTGGGGGGGGGGGATTAGTACTCTTCGAATAGGAAAAGAAAAAGAGGAAGCTAACGGGTCAAGGGGTGACCCCGAAAAGAGACATATTACTTTACTTTGTATCTTACGCTTTCTATTTATTGTTGTTTTGTTTTGTTTTTTACTTTATTACATCTTTGACCTGGAGTTGGAACGGGTCATGGTAGGGCGGAAAGCAGAGGTTCATTGTCAGCACTGTACTGGATGTGACATTACGTAGGGAATACCCAGCTACATACATGTACTAAGCATGCACTTATCGGAGAGTCCTATGACTGCGGAGAAGGTTCAGCGACCATCTGCGTCTTGCTTGTTGACAGCATTAACCCTCTGGGATCTGTCATGCCTTCCCCTGCCCCCATCTCTCGGATGAGATGACTTGGTTGCTCTGGGAGGGGGCGGGGGATCTAGCTTCCAATTGGTTTTATTATTACTATTATTATTATTTTATTATTATAATTATTACTATTATTATTATTATATTATAGGTTTTGTATTTCTGTAACACACACCAACTATGCTCTTAATAGCGTCTTTCTCTTCTTTATCTCCTCAAACAACTTCTCAATATAATACAACAGACACCAACATACCCATTCATTTTTCTTACGATCTCTCTGTGGTGGAGTTGGGTTTTTGTTTGTGGCATTGCACCTACAGCCACTGCTTTATTTCCTACCCCGGGATGGAAGGAAAATCACAGAACCACCAGTTTTAGATGCTTTTGATTAGAGCAGACATGCAGCTATTACCGAATGGCATCATGCAGAAGAGTTAACGCTCAGATTCTACTGGATCGCTAACAACAACAACAGCTGAATAGAGGACAGGCTGGCTATTTAGCTGAATAGAGGAAATACTAACCTGTTGTGTGAATACTGGAAGGATCGATGCGTTGTGTTAATAGAGGAAAGGTTGACTTGTTGAGTGAATAGAGGAAAGACTGACCTGTTGTGTGAATAGAGAAAAGATGGACTTGTTGTGTGAATAGAGGAAAGACTGACCTGTGGTGTGAATAGAGTAAATATTGACTTGTTGTGCGAATAGAGGCAAGACTAACCTGTTGTGTGAATAAAGGAAAGACTGATTTGTGCGAATACTGGAAGGATCGATGTGTTGTGTTAATAGAGGAAAGGTTGACTTGTTGGGGGAATAGAGGAAAGATTGACTTGTTGTGCGAATAGAGGAAAGACTGACTCGTTGTGTACATAGAGGACAGACTGACCTGGTGTGTGAATATAGTCTCACGTAAAAAGTCCAGTGCCAGGTCTGTGCGGGTTTCCGCACTCTCCTTCCCAATCCTCATTACAGCATCCTTGACATCCTGTGCAGTATTGTAGGTGTTGAGGTCAAACTCGTGCTGGAAAATATAGGAAGAGTCCCTGTGTTAAAGCAGGCCAGCTCGTGTGTGTGTGTGTGTGTGTGTGTGTGTGTGTGTGTGTGTGTGTGTGTGTGTGTGTGTGTGTGTGTGTGTGTGTGTGTGTGTGTGTGTGTGTGTGTGCGTGTGGTTTTTTGAATTTTTTACCATTGAAAAAATATTAACTCATTTTTTTAAAAAGAACAAAGCTTCCCCAGGGGTGAACAATCTATTTCGTAGAAACTGTCAACTGATTGTTTATGGCGTTGAAACACTGCTTACTTCCCAAAAACAAACGAAAACCACTAGGGAAGTTCACTGACCGCTATATTTTTTGCTTGAAGGATATGGGGGCCACACAGACAGATTCGGGCTAACATCAAAAACTTTCACGAAGGTGGCGGTGAAC